CAAGATTCATACTTTGTATGCTTTATTAAACAAATTGTCACCACAGTAGCTAACTAGACCTGATTATAATCTAGCACCAGGGATGATAAAATCATAAAAATACTGTATAAGTGCTAATATACTTAACAAAAATTGTGACGAAAATTATCCTTCAACAACCTTTTTGTCCACAGCAAATGAAAAGATTGACAAGATGAAAATTACTTCATTGAACGATAGTTGTGACTACATCTCCATACAATATCAGTAACAAAAAAGAGTTGACTAAAATGGAATGTAGTAAAAACTATCACTAAATCTATCTTTATTTTAATTGTTGAAAAAAAAGGAAAGACAAAATTACATTGAAAATCGTATTGTCCAAATCTTATGGTCATTGGATAACTGCACATTTCTTCCCTGGAGCTCGCTGCAGCCTCCAACTGTAAGAGCTCAGCCGACGGTGATGGGAAAAGTACATGGTCAACGTTTGGACCCACCTATAATCAGTGTTTACGCTTTACAAAGTAACGCATTACTGTTCTCACATTGCATTAATATTGTGTTACTGCAGTTATTTGGCTAACTTGAATACACAAATTCTTCAATTATCTGCATAAGTGGGCAGATAGAAAAAAATCTGACATGCCTTTTCATTTTAAATGTTTGCGCAATAATCACCTGAGTGACTTCTTTGCTTTCATTGAGGAGGACACAGCGTCCTTCAACTCTGACTCCGACATTTGGCTCCATGCCAGTTAAATGTACTCTATTTGCAACATCTTCTGGTTATTACAAAAAACAATTTACACAACAATTTACAAAAAACACACAGCACTTTTATGTAGATAATCAGTTTTGGGCTTGAAAAAATATGCTTGGCACAAGCAAGGTGTCAAGTTCTGAGCTTGTGTTGTATGCAAAAACTTTATTATATTTTATTTTCAGATGAATATAAATATTACTAAAACAAACATCGACTTTTAATCTCAGGACTAAAGAGACTAAATCTAAAAATAAATAACAAAATTAACATGATAGTATTCTGATAAATGTTTTGATTTGTATTCTTTTTTCTCCAAAATTGCAAATGTTACTGTATCTTTACGTACAAAGCACAATAAAGCAGAAAAATTAATGTGTTACAGTCAATATCTGTAGTATTAGACCATCAGTCTCCTCCCTGCATCTTTTCACTCACCTGAGTGCCACAGTTGTGTTAACTTGCTGTGCTGTAGCTTTGATGTCATACTGATCCTCCTCCAGAGTCTTCATTTTCTCTTCAGTTTCCTCGATCACGTCCTTCCAACCCTCCACCCGATCCAGGTATCTCTCCAGCGACTGGTTGAGAATTTTGATCGACATGAGGTGGTTTTGCATATCACGTGTGAGCCGGTTGCTGGTGGACTTTAGGGTGGACTGGGTCTGGGAGGCCTGGTCCAGGACCTGGAGTCAGAGATAATGATAAGTGAGTCCTAGGTTGGTTGGTTAAACAAAACAAGCGACTTGAAGAGGTGACCTTTCTCTCTTAGAGTTTGATTTGTGATTCTCCATACAGTACCTGCTCCTGCCCCAGTATCATTCTCTGGATGTCTTCAAACTCTCTCTTCAGCCGGCTGATCTCCTCGCTGTACAGAGTCACATCCAGACAGCCTGAACAGTTAGAGGTGGAGCTCAGATCTGAGAGGTGAAGTCAGACAAAGAAAAGGAGGATCACGGGAGATAAGAAACAAAGAAAGAGAGAAATTGAGGGAGGATGGAGAAATGTTATAGATGTCTGTATATGATATTTTTTGAATGCTTCTAATACCACGTGTGTTTTAATAAGAGAAAAAAACTATCTTTTGACCTCCACTGACCTCCATCGTTTGTGTTGTGCGTCATGAATATAATTGACAAAACATGCACCACAAGGTCCATTTAGTAGCTGTATGGGAACTTTTGATTGTATCATCTTCCACAGCAGATGGGAAGATACTAAATGTCAGTAAATGTAACAAACTGTTCCAAAAAGCTATTAAATGGACCTTGTATTGAGATTATTTTTGTCAACTTCTGTTTCCAAGGTCAAGAATAAACTTTGAATCTCAAATTTTAAGCCAAAAATGAAATAGACGTCCTTAAATTGCTCAGGAAAAAATCTACATTTCCATGACAATTGAGCAAAACATCCAGAATAGCTACTAAATGGGCCTTGTGGTGAGATTGTTTTTCAGGAAAGGAATGAACTTCTGAAGAATCAAAACTCTCAAGGTCCAATGTATTTTAGACACGCAAAAGATTATACTTTATAGAAAACAGCAATTTTAGGCTCATCTTGTGCTCTAAATGAATACATTTAGAAAGCTTCTGTACAGTAACATACCAATATAGTTGCACATTTACATACTGGTGTAAAAAAATCAGTAAAACAACAGGTTTCATTTTTTAGTTATTACTTGAAGAAACTTTGAAAGAATTCTGTTTTCTATGTGCATAAATGGCTTTCCATTGTTATCCTCCATAATGTTTAAGTCTATGATACCAGACTCAATATAAAAAAAGACAATTTGTAAGTCATTACAGCTACTTTACCCTCTATTCCTTGCTGAACACTGGTGATCTTCTTGTGGTAGACGGACTCCTCCTCAGAGAGGTTGTCAACCTTCCTGAACACTGGAGACACGGCAAAGTTGATCAAGTTAAGGAACAATGTCCTCAGGTTATAATATGACACACTTATTCCCAAATTCAGGATTTACATTCCAGTGAAGGAACAAGCACCACTGACAGCCATGTCACAGTTTTGTTTTTTGAAAGTCAGTGTAAGTCAATTGGGAATTAAGCCATTAACCTTTAATATGCTAAACAAATGCTAACAGGAAAACTTCCAACACCACAGGCGCTTGAACATTTAACAGATACCAGGGAAAGGAAATAACCAGGGAAATGGTTCTGAATGCCGAAAGAGTAGATACAGAAATGATTAACATCAGCAGTACTCTGGTGTTAACAGGACATAGGAAGTATTTAAAGGAGTAAAAACAGGAAGTTGTAATTTAAGCCCTGACAACAAAACATGTAAAGTTTTCATTAGCTAACAAATGTAACCAAAGCACTGGTGAATGATGGTTTAGCCAGCTGGCCAGGTCCTGCTCCCTGTGCATATTTCCCAGGAGAGCAACAATAATTTAGTGAGTGTGAGTTTTTGTGTGTACAAGTGTACATTTGTGCGTGTGTAAGTTTGTATAATGTGTGTTTTCAGACTTTTTCAGCATCCTAAACCCCCGACTCAAGGGATTAATGCAGGTCTGTTCCATAGTGTGTTTGCATTTATAAATGCTTCCACATGCGTTCTGCACATACCATCTGTTCTACTGTATTAGCTGCTGTGACAGTGATGCTGAACATGGCTCATGGCTTTTGGTAAATTCAGTGCATTGATGCTTTAGTAATGACTCAAAACGTTCAATAAATTTATTTCATAAAATATTCTTATAGACTGTGTAAATCAACCACTACAGCTTTCTACACATACATTACCGGCAGTATATGTTGTGTTTTTTCCATGAAGCAAAGAGTTAAAAAGAGTTTCATTTCATTCCACAATTGTTATTTAACTAGTCCTTGCTGAAGATTTTTATAAAACAGATGTTCAGCAGGGAATGGAAAATCAAAGGTTATTAGTTTCTGTTTTTCCTGCACAGAATTGCAGCCAAGTGCAATATCTTTTTTGTTTATACTTAAGTTTGTAGGGCTTTGGTATTGTACAGCTGTGCTGTTTTGTTTTGTTTCTGTGTATAAAACATAAAAAAGAATAGTGATTCTGTGTATGTGGTGTGCATGTTTATGCATGTTTAGTATTTAGAGATACTTTTTTAACTGTATGTAAATGTTGATCTATATTTGGATGTTTGATTGTCTTTCTTGAGGCTCAATATACTATTTTATATACTATACTAATTTAGGAAATTTGCAGTCTTACAGCAGCAAGGGGGAGAGCGAACAGCAGAAGCATCGATAAAAAATAAATAAACATAAACATAATAAAATAAACAAAAACTGCACGATATTAACAAGAGAGAATAAAAACCAAAAATGGCCTGTTACTGCTGTACACAGATAAACAAAAAGAAAATCAGATGGACATGGGTTCACAAAGTTATTTCAAGAATCCAACACAAGATTATGACCGTTGTCGTCCTTAGCCTCAGCCAGGTAACTGAGTAGAATGGCTATTGGTTAGCAGTGAACCGATAGTTAAACTCTACAGATAAACTCATTTAATATTTAAAAAATACAAAACAATAGTATGTACAAGCTATTAGAAACTGATTACATATCACACAGGGATATTTAGTGCTGTATTCCTGTCAATATTCGCTCGCTAACAGATGTGACAAAATGGCGGATGTAACAGTGTCAGTTACTGCTCTGGAACTCTGCCAGTAGTGGTTGCTACGAGCAACAGAATGTTCAACTGACAATAACTGCTGGTGGCAGAACACAGACTTTAGTGAACATGTTTACAGCGCTTGGGCAAGTAAAAAATGCCCGCACACAGTTCACAGCAAAACTGAACTTTATTATGTTTCTGTACCTGAATACAAGCTCGTATGCGTGTTGTGGGATTTCACTTTCCTTCTACCAAGCCTCACTCTCCCTCTGCTCTGAGATTCCCCGAACTGTAGTAAAAGCTGAAGATTTACGACTTTCAGAGCCAATAAAATGTGAGCTGCTGTCAGGTAAAACATGGCACACAGGACCCAGGACCACGTTCACTTGATCCATGGGAGTTAAATGGACAGTGTTTTATTAAGGCACATGACGGGCCTATTTCTCACTCAGACTGCATTGTGTCAGCATTAATCAGTGGAATTTCCTAATAAATCACAAGGTTGTTGAGAACAGCTGTTTTGACCGCTGACTGCATCCATCTTTAGAGATCAGCATCTCTGTAGGGAAGTCAGGAGGAGCATATCTGAGGTATTTTTTGGGCTTTACGTGCCTTTATTGGATAGTGACAGGTGAAGACAGACAGTAAAAATGTTGGGGATGGGGATGACATGCAGCAAAGGGCCATAGGGTGGATACGAACCTACGTCACTGGGGCTACCAAGATCTCTGGGGTATTTGTGTTGCTGTTTGAGACTTTTACTACAGGATTTAATAATTGCAACATGATAACAAATGAGCTTACCAAGTGACGCCAGCACTGCCACAGTAATGACAAGAAATGCAACAAATCCATAGAGGACTTTGACAGCCAGCTGGAGAGAGTGGCTCTGCTGGCACCTCATACAGCCTCCTCTGCTACGACCTGGAAGAACAAGTAATGATTATTCTCATTATTGATTTATCTGCCAATTATTGTCTTGAATGATAAAATTAATGGTTTGGTCTATATAATGACAGGATATAGAACGAGTGCAAAATACCAATCACAATTTCCCAAAGCCCAAGTTGACATGCAAAAATAACTTGTCTTGTCAAACAGTTCAAAACCAAAAAGTTTTTTTTGTTTACTGTAGAAGACTAAGAAAACTAGCAAATATTCAGTTGCTGATTAACTTTTAGTCAATTTACGTATTGATATATGATATAATTATGACTGATAGCAGTGTTTTATTGTTGTTTGATTGAGGTGGAGATCATTTTTTACTGCTTTAGTTGTAATGTAGCATATCTATCTATCTATCTATCTATCTATCTATCTATCTATCTATAAAGCAAGAAATCTCTGTCTGTCTGTGTGTGTGTGTGTGTGTGTGTGTGTGTGTGTGTCTGTGTGTG